GGGGGGGGAATTATTATTTTTAATCAACATTGCAAAATGGAACCATCAATCCACCCCCTCACCACAATTGTAAACTACGCCATCACCTTCGGTCCAAATCCCTCCCCGCACCGTTGTTACAGTGGGGTTTCCCCCAAGACTCTTGGGTTTCCCTCGCCAGTAACTGTAGAAGTCCTAGATCTCGCCGTGTTTGGTTGGGGGGTTTTTTGTATTAACTTATGTTTTCTTTTAGGCAGGCGCTATTTGCAACGCCGTGTTCTGAATAACTCTCGTGCTTTTTGAAACGCTGCGTTCTGATTAGGCTAGCTCCTCTATGCTATTTTAAAAGCCGCGCTCTGAATTATAGCTCCCATGCTATTTGAAACGCCAGTACTAGATCTACTAGTAGCCATCGTTTCTACAAGATAATATTGTAGTTCTGCCTGAATTGAGGAAGCTTTCTCAGTTTCTTCATAAACCTCCCAGGACCAAGGATTTGACTCCTTTTTTATGACGTTCTCTTATTCCGATCAATATTGGGTAGTATCTAGATCTAACAATTGTTTCTAAAATTGTTTGCACAAAAGTAGTCTTGTTCATCTCTCATGATCATAATAATTTGAGTTTGATTAGCTAGAGCAAGTAAGTCAAAAGACGCTTGGATAACAATAACTAAACGGTGCAACTCGGTTTCCTGTCCGCAGTGTCATCATAAAATACCTAAAAATATTATCTCTGCGCCCACTTTATATTTTGCCATCACACATGATCTCGACTTCGGCGTTTTTATTAGCAGGGGGTAGGCTAGTGTCTACGTTCTCTAACATTAGGCCTAGAGAACGTTACATAAGCTGTCTATGTTCTTAAATGTTCAGTGCTTCCAAGCGTGGCATCGAATCCCGGTCCTGGAAGGTTGGGTTTTTTTCTTCTCATGAGCCTAAAATTTTTTTAAATAATTAGACTCACAGTCACAGACCACAGAAAGCCACTTTTGAACTTTAACCAGGCCTAAATTTGTAAAAGGAAAAGTATAGGCCTACTTTGTAGACCTGTAAAAGCTCCTCTTGGGGACAAAACCAGAATGTGCATGCTTCATCACTACATAAAAAACTACAAAGCAACAAGTTATAATTTTATGGGCAAAAATTGTTGGTCAGTCGAGAAAAGGAGAAAAAACCTTCCCGGACCGGGATTTGTATCCACGCTCATATAAAATAATGGTTTGACTTCAAACGCAGAGAGGCGCTGTCCATTCAGCCATCAGAACTTCCAATAACGTAAGGTAGATTAAGCTTGATGTTTAACACACCGCGTTTTATTTTGCACTGGCGCTAATTGCAACGCGGCGTTGCAAAGAGGCATTTCCTTTCTTTTATAAACAACCTCAGCAATTCTCGTTCTCCTCAAAGTTGTGTCACACACACACACACACACACACACACACACACAAGCGCGTGTGCACGCACACATACACACACACGTAGCGCGCGTACACACACACACACACAAGCGCGCCTACGCACACACACACACACAGCCCAATCAGTCGGCGATGAAACCTAAATCTAGTGACATAGCCCATCGTGCGCTAGCCTTAGCGGCAAAGTTGGACTGCCACGGTGAGATCTAGTCAACTGGCAATGGAAGCCCCGGAAGACGATAAAAATAGCCTAGATAGCTGAAATGCGTCATCTAGAGTCTATATTTGGGCCAATCACAGAGGTGTGCTAGGTGCTCGCTGCAGCTTCACACTTCATGGTAATGGGAATATGTCCGTTAAAATACTTTTTCTTTCACTTTCTCTGAAGTGAGTGTATACAGACCCGGTAACCGGGAACAAAGTCACAAAGTATACAGACCCGGAAGGGGAACTCTTTTATGATTTCGGAAAGTTTCAGCACCCTCTTGGCTCAGGATAGACCTAGGTTCTTCTAGATCTATGGCCTAGGTCTAGATCTAGACAGACAGGCATAAATCATTGATCTAGTTTCGAGGCTAGCCTAGATCTAGATCTAAATGAAGATTGCGGATGTCTTTTCGATGAACGATCGTTTTTGCTCCGTTTCGGAGTTGGAGGAATCACAATTTGAAGAAAAGAACAATGTCATAATTTCAATCAAGCAGTGACCCTCTCTATTTCTCCGCCTCTCTCTCTCTCTCCTCTGTGTATCGCTCGCCTTCTCTTTTTCTTTGTTTGTCTCTGTCCTTCTCTCTCCCCATCTATTTCCCACTCTATCTTTCTCTCGTTCCCTCCTGCCAACTGGGGCATGTCATATTTTGCTAGCACTTCTCTCTCTCTCTCTCTCTCTCTCACACACACACACACACACACACACACACACACACACACACACACACACAAACACAAACACACAAACACAAACACACTACCGGGTCTGGGCGCTGAAACTTTCTGAAATCACAAAAGAGTTCACCTACCGGGTCTGTATACTTCGTGACTTTGTTCCCGGTTACCGGGTCTGTGTCTGTATACACACTTCGTTCTTCTCTGAAATTGCTCATTACTAGGAAAAAATAAGTCCGGCTTTGACCTTCTATTTACTTTGAACATTGAGCCATTTATGATTTACCATCCTCATCCATGCCATGCTACATCATAATTTCTCCTCAAAACAGCCCCATGATAGTGACAGCTCTCTCTCTCTCTTCACTGTGGACCTTAGTCGCCTTAGAGCCTTAGACTAGAATCTAGCTAAAGCCTAACCTAAGCTGTGGACTGACCACAAAATGAACTCAGAGGTTTATATGGAATTTTTTCCCTGAAGGCTATGAGGATAGAAAATAGACCTAGATCTAGATCTAGATCTACACCTCCACTTTTTTAAAAAAAAAACAAGGCTTACCAAAACCAAAACTGAAACCTACCACTGGTAATCCACCAGTCTGAGTCAGTCCAGTAGCCAAAGGAGCCTGGAGTATGTCATCAAACAAAGCAGAACTTGTGTTGCAAAATAAGTGACAGTACAATAACAAAACAGCTCTTAGACAGTGACAGTATATCCATAACATAATCATGATTAGTTTGACTGCGTCTAGATTCTACACTTGATCTACAGGCAACTTATCAGTCCAATAACAAAGAGACAACAACGCGTTAAAATGAGCACTGATACTGATGTGGACCTCACCGTAATGTTGGCTTGAATATCGTATTTCTCTTCATTTCTGCCTATGAATCGACATGTCAATTCATCCACAGTGGCCGAGAGGACTTGAAACCTATGATGAGACCTCGGAAATGTTGACTCAAGAACTCGTATATCTTGTTTGAGGATTGCGAGACAGGCCATTTGTGAAAATTCATTAAAACGATATCATAGAAACAAGGAATAAAAGGCATCAAAACATTCAGGAAACAATCATGATCATCGTCTCTCCCCACGCATGCGCTTTTAGAATTATGTCAGCGGAAATAAAGTTGTGATCCTCGTCAAAAAGTTAAAAATAGCAAAACAATGTTTTGATTTGGTACAGTATCCATTTGTCTTTAATACAGTTCAGCTAATGACAGTCCTCATTTGTGAGTCCAGAAACAATCAATATAATAGCATTATAAACTTTAGACTGTCAAATAAAAATACATAAAAATGTAAAATAATTTGTAAAGAATAATATAGTAAAATGGAATCCAGATTCTAACAGTTGTCGTGGCCGAGTGGTTAAGGCGATGGACTAGAAATCCATTGGGATCTTCCCGCGCAGGTTCGAATCCTGCCGACAACGATTTTTTTTCTTGCTGTGTTCTGTTTGCTTTGGATAATATAAGTACAATGTATTTTATTTTATTTATATTATTATAATATTATATCGTTCATTTCAGTACGAAAGCGTATGTGCGTGTACATGACGTAACAAAATTTATCGGTTGGGAATATAGGGGCCTATAAATTACATTATAATGAATGGAATCTGGTAAAATGCTGAATTCAAACTATTATTTATACCAATGTGGCTATTCTTTGGGCTAAAAGCATTTATTTAGCTATAATAACATACCATTATATACTTACTTCGGGAAAACTCGAGGCCGAACTTACGAAAAGTTGGCGTTTTGTAGTCTCTTGATCGAGAGTTTGTGTTGCTGTAATTTTGAAATGTTGATGCTCGAATCTAGTCTGGTGGAAAGATCTCCAAGTCCAAGGGTAATCATCTCCAAGTCCAAGGGTAAATCAGTTTCAGAGACGACAATTGTTGATAATATGTTGAGGTGAGGGGTGGTTGTTTTTGTGTGTGAGTGTGTGTTAAAGAGGTTGCTCTCTTGAGATTCATACAGCGTGATCAAATAAAAAAATGTTTAAAACTTTACCGATGCAACTTTTTTTTTTTCTTAATATCCCGCACATTAATAATTGTTCTTGAATGTTGTATTTTAGAGACGAAAGAAATTTATTTTAAAAAAGGAACTTTTTTTACATAAAATTCATAAAAGAAGACAGGGTGCGGGCTCTCGTGGTCTAGAGGTTACGGTGTTCGCCTTTCTTTCAATAAGTCCCGGGTTCGAAACCTGACAGCGACGGAAAATTTTCCTTTATTGAAAGTTTTATCCTTACTCCTCCTTCGATCTGCTCTCTACATGTTAATCTGTCGTCTGCAAGCATTGCGTCTCCACTTACTGTACATCTTTCAGCATGAAGGGCTTCTGGAGATATAAAGTGTGTGGCGTGTGTGTGTGCAGTGGCGAAGCGTCTATATAATCAAATAATCACTGCTTCCTTTCCTAATTTTGAAACATTGCCGCAGTCAAATTCACCCCATAGACGTAAACCTCATAACTCATAAATTAAATGTAAAAAAAAAAGACGCTCAAAATCAACCAATGAACAGTATGCCTAACATTCAAAACGGTTTCATTGTCACAGAAATAGCCTGTTCACCCCTATCGTGTCACTCCATAAGCAGTCGTTAGCTTTGATTATGTAAGCTTACAGTGAGGCTGGAAGAGTCTACCAAAATTGTTGAAGGGAACATGCGTGCAACAATCAAAACTGTTCCATTGCCACAATATACCCTGTTCATCCCTTTCGGGCCACAGTTATAATCAGTCATAAGCACTGATTATATATGCAAACTATTACACTGGTCGAGTCTACCTCACAGATGTGAGGGGAACTAACTCCTAATAATATATTGACTGCTGCGAGTGCTTGTGTTTTTTCCTCGACTTTTTACCGTAGACGTCCTACAATCAGATCGTGACCTCGATTATGACACCGGCTCCTGGCCGCGAAACGCTAGACAAAAAACAGCCAAATGTGAAAAAATAGAAAATTAATAATTGTCAGGTTCTACCAAAGAGTTTAGTCTCACTGGTATTGGTATTACATACTGTAGTACTGATCTGACTCCTCTGCTTCTTTGCTTTGTGTTAGTGTATTCACGTCTAAAGATAAATTTAATGTCTGTTGAAATAAATGTTTAATGAGATACTTTCCCGATTATTTTAGCGGTTGAACATGCCTACAACAACTTGAATTCAGGTCAGGATTTGTTTTTATTCACAACTCAGTGATGCCGCCTCGAGTAGGATTCGTGTGTGATAGATCTATATATCTCAAGGCCCTATCAGGTCCCATCTCACTTTGATGACCCTGTCAAACAAGTCAACCTTCGCCCTGTGTGTGTGTGTGTGTGTGTGTGTGTGTGTGTGTGTGTGTGTGTGTGTGTGTGTGTGTGTGTGTGTTTTGGGGGGGGGGGGGGGGGACTCATGCAATGGGCAGCATTTTTGGAGAACGAAAGCAAGTAAGCATTACTCTCGTAGATCTATGTACCTGCATGGTGCGAAACTTCCGATATGTCGGGGAATATTATTTTTGTTGGAGAGGTAATGTTCTCTGTTCTTTGCTAAACTGAACCATTGCCTCAGTAGAAAAAGAGAACGAAAAAATATCTGCAAACTTCAGTTGACCTGTTCGACTTCTGATGTAGTTTTCAATGTGGGACGTCTATCTGTAGTACTATAGGCCTAAAGTGAACTGGAGTGTCATACTATGTGCTATTAAAAAAAGGGGGATGGGGCGGCAAAGTTGGAAAATGTTTTTTAGGTGCAATACAGAGCAAAATACACAGTCGAACCTGCCTTAACGGAAACCTGTATAAAACGGAAACCTGTCTTAACCTAATCTCCCCGCTCCCCCTCCCTCTTTAATTACCTGTATAAAACGGAAACCTGTCCAACGCGGAAACGGAAAGAAAAATCCACTCCCTTCCGAGGGTTTCACCTGTCTAAGATGGAAAATGCTTTGCCCGCTCAGCCCTGATTTGAAACAAAACTCGCAAGTTTGGTTACGTGGGCTCTAATAACGCAATGGCCATGCCGCTGGGCGAGGAAGGGGAGTAGGGGTGCAATTTGGGGGTAGATGTTTGATGTGACCCTAGGCGATCATAAAATGATCGTCTAGATATGACCCCATCATGTAAGCCCTGAGCGATGCAGATGGTCAGTGTACGTAGTGTGGGTGTGAAATCTCACGACTACCCGTTGGAGTGCTCGAGTGGCGAACCACTACGGAAACTTTCCTGGGTAGCCAGAAGCCAGAGGTGTGAAATTAGATTGACCAATGCCTGTCGCCCTGATCGTACGACCAGCCGAGAAAAGAGTTCCTCGAATCGTTGTTATTATGATGGCAGCACAGAATTCTACACTTAGAATTATGTGGATGGCAATGAGGGGGTGACATTGGTGGGTGGGGCTAAGGGTGGAAGCAAAGGAGATGTTCAAACGTTTCTGTTTTTAATAGGTCAAACAGTGGTCC